TTGCCGCCCATTCCGGGCACCGGTAAGCGATACCACGAGTCGGCTCTACCGCCGCCGCCGCCACCGCCGCCCACATCGGCGACGGCACAGTTGGCGGCCAAACACGGCCTAAACGTGTGGACCATTCCGTCCCTGAGTGATTTGGGAAGTGCCTACGCAAACATCTCCACCCAAAGTGACGGCAACTATTATTCGGTGACAAACTATGCCACGACGACTGGCCAATACGGCCCGGCAGGTGGTGGTGGTGTTGGTCGACACCACCCGCCGTTGGCCCATACGGGCAACTCTTCGTATAGATCCGAAGATCTCTATGATTCAAATCACGGCGCGTACGCCACGTCCACCATCTCCACGACAACCGGGGTATGATTGATGATATGTACTGTCTATTTGTGCCCCCATTTCCCACACCACACCACCCGTTCCCCATCCCCTCCGCCCCCACTATCACAACAGTTTACAATCACTTTCCGCTATTTCTCTCCCAATCACTCATAAGTTTCTTTTTTGGTTTTTTCTCTTTCATAAGTAGTTTGTATTCATATTTAGTTTTCTTATAATAATAACTATTATTTTTGTTGTTTTCCACTCGTATTTCTCTATCAAAATATTCCGATATTTTTTTCTCTTAACGTCTAATGTCTTTATAAATCGATTTCCAAATCGTATACAATGTGTATAAAAATTGGGCAAAAAATATTTTTTGTTATGTTTTTTGTTTCCATGCATTTGGACACAGAGTATGAGAGAGAATGAATGAGGGGTAAAATGCACCAGAAATTAGTTATTAATCTCACATCTAATCGATAGCCGAGAGAGAGAGAAATACGAGTGGAAAACAACAAAAATAATAGTTATTATTATAAGAAAACTAAATATGAATACAAACTACACATTTTCATTGAAAAGCATCGGTTCAATGGTATCTCTATGAGTGAGTGAATGAATTGTTGAGAGAGAGAGAGAGAGAGAGAGAGAGAGAGAGAGTCTTGGAGACTGAATGGCATAATAAGGGCCATAATTCATAATATTTGGATGAGAATTGCATTTGACATGTGATGCCATATTCTTGTACTCCATATACATGTGATTTCCGGTAATTTGATAGATAAGGCACTAATAGTTGGGTTGAGTTTTTTTGATCTGAAAAAATAGTTTTATCTCTAATTCACAATACAATAGAGACAATCAAAAAGGATGGCATAGACTTACGTCTCTCTCTCTCTCTCTCTCTCTCTCTCTCTCTCTCAACAATTCATTCACTCACTCATAGAGATACCATTGAACCGATGCTTTTCAATGAAAATGTCTAAAAAATTAATGTTATTTTAATTTTTCATTACATATACTATGGATATTCACTATCAAAAACGCGTTTATATATTATTATTATTAGTTCTCCTATTATTCTATATATAATATAATGTTTTATTGTATTAAATGTATTATGTATTGTGACTTAAATAATTGATGCGTGTCCTATGGCTATGCCCTGTGCTGTGCCGCACAGCAGACCCTGTGTTTGGTAGCGGAAACTGACCGTATATTTGCCTCATAGACAACAGACCGGACACACAGTAATAGAAGTCGTGTATTGTATTGAAGCACTGGGAGGAATGGGAGGACCCGCGAGTGCATACGGATAGAGAGATACAGTGCAGATATATCAGCGCTCTGTATCTCTACCACACCTGCCGACTAAACACATACTGCGAGAGAGAGAGAGAGAGAGAGTCGCTGTAATGATTCGTGTGTCTGTTTCTCCCATTCTCTCTCGACTTTTACAAGTATTTCCCAAAACATCCACTCATGTGCTCTCTCTCTCTCTCTCTCTCTCTCTCTCGGC